AATAGGAGTGGCCCATGAACTTTTTGAGGGGCGGCAAATTTTTGCCTTTGCCATGCGACGGAATTGCTCTTTTGATTCTTTTAATGCATCTGGGGGTAAACGGCATGCGCGCTGATAGACAGGGGGTCCAAAAGTATCGATGTGATGGTAAACACCGGTTATTGGAGTTGGAAATTCGTTAATTCGGGGAATTTTAGTAACAATTTTCTATATGGATTATTATTATCAATTCGGCTAACTCCGGTAACAGATGGCGTTTTTAATTCCCCGTTAATTCCCATTTTAGTTTTTAAATCGATTAATCTACCCCGGTTATTATGAAAATTGTTATTTTCGCGCCCTCTACGTTTCGGATCGCGAGATTTTCGTTCCTGAACCTCCTCAAATTTTGCTTTTAATGATGCTACTTCCTCGGTCAAATTTTTTACCTCATCTACTTTAGTTGTAGAGGATGGCTCACCTGATACAGTTGCAGTGGCTGCATTTGCAATCCGGTCTACTTCCGCCATTTTATCCGCGCGTTCGGCCATCTGATTAACAGTCATATCGCTGCTCGATGTGAGAATGAGTTGGTGTTGGAGAGGCAATTTTGCTAAGAAAATTACTTTTAACACCTCTTCATCACAGTTTCCCACATTCAAACTCCTGATACGACTGAGAATCTGTGATGGTTTCCCGCTAGACAAAACATCCCCCCTGATCAATTGAAACAGTCGAGTTTCTTTAGATGTTGCGAAATGTGCGACTATTCCGATTTTTAATTGAGTATAAACATCGGCAGGTTTAGGGTCTAACATTACAATATGACGGACACAATTGAGCGTATCAGCGTCTACTTGAGCTATGATCAACTGTGCTTTCGCAATCTCGTCATCTATTTGATTACGCGCGAATACTGATTCAACCTGGACGAACCACATCTCGGGATCATTTGGACTGAATGGGGGAAGTCTAATTGAATTCGGATTTTGAGTATAAATTTGTCTTACGGGGTTAACGATCGGATTCTCTATAGCCGCGACATTATCGGCATTAGCCACAATTGGTGGATTTTGAATTGCATCTCGATTTAAATTTTGTGCAATGGGTGGGTTTTGATTTGCATTTTGATCGGGAATTTGCGCGTTTTGTTGATTTTGAGCAATTCGATTTTCAAATTCGCGTTCGCGACGCGCAAATACTTCGATCCTTTGATTCAATTCGTGTTCCCGCTGTGCTACTGTCTGTTGCCTTGTTAATATATCGCGTTCCATATTCTCCCTATTAATTATATTCCGATCCGGTACTGGCCCAGGGCTGGGTCGAGGTATAGTCCCACCTGCTGCTGCGGGTCGATCATTTTGTTGATCACGGGCAGCCGGGTCAGGTACATTGCCCCTTGAGCGATTCGCTTGGTCACGCGTAATAACCATTTTAAATCCGAAATAAAAATTTGTTAAAATTGAAATTAAATTAAATTTAATTATTAATTGAAAAGAAATAATTTATTTATTCTCCTGAAAGTTTTGCTATGCGGTCCTTGCTTTTCCGAGAAAAACGTGCTCCGGTCGGGGTCACCAATGTGTAGCTTTCCCGGGTAGATTTCGGGAAGCTAATTCGATGGACTCAAAGAAGGGCACAAGACCAATAGTCGGACCAATTATTTAAACCACATGATTATTTATTTGATATTTAATAATGACCGTATACAATTGTACGATAATATAAAACCAGCCCGGTAGGCAGCCAATTAGTTTCTGAGTCACAATCTCCTCTCTCACACAATATATTGTCTTATCAGTCACACTTACATTCACGCTTACATTTGGAGAAAGAGGTAGTGGGGGCTCATAGGCAGTACCCTCACAGAATTAACATAACCTTATTTTTTATCAAATCTTATTTACCAGTCTATTGATTAAAGTTTTTATAAAAAAATGTGCTATTTTAATATAGTACTTAATATTAAGGAATATTTAATTAAAAAATATTAACAAACTTTCTAGAAAATTATAACGAAAACGCGTAAAATGATGATTTTGAAGTTTTTTATGCAATAACACAGGCCGACAAGATTTACTTTTCAAGAATCAGACAGTACTTTTCCGAAGGTTGAAGACGTGCTGAATCCGAATCTGGCTTCAGAATTGACCCTGCACGCCAGGTTTTCGAGATATTCTAACTTTAATGTGCAAAAAACCGTTCTTTAACTACATTTGAGGAAATGCAACATCAAGAGATAATTTCGTTTATTCAATTTTCTGAGTATGGCAAATTCTACGATATTCCAAAACTGAATAGAAACAGATACAACTTCGATAATTCAGAAGAATATAACTACAAACATCTAAGTGGAATGATATTGGTGTGGGTATGACACGTCACTCTGTTGATAGGACAGAGTGCGTCTTATTAGAAAGAGATATTAAATACAAATTAGGAAAGATAGCGAATCTCAACAGTGCGTAGCCGGTCGCTCTCGTCGTCACTTGTAAATATGTGAAGTCCTTTTTTAAACGTTATTTGAATATACTAGTTAACCGTTTCCTCGTCTTTTATTGTGTTTTCCTGACAAACCATTCCCATTTTATTTAATTTAATATTTGACTCGCTCTCTACTTATTACATATTATTATTTTCAAAATTCAAAATGTCGGATAATTTTTTTAAATATCGAAGAATTCGACATAATCATTATCAAAATGGGATTTAAAGAAGAAGAATAGCACTTTCAGATGCAATATTGACCTTTTGGAAAAAAATTGTCTCTTGATGTCGTATGTCCTCAAATGTAGTTAAAAGCGGGTTTTTTTGCACTTTAATGTTAGAATAACTTGTGTTTTTTATAAAGAATAAAACGCATAGTTACGTATTTCTTGCTCAGAAAACATTATTTAAATGCTTAAAATGTTTTACATTATTAATTTCTTAACAAAATTCATAAATTTTTAATTTTCCTTTACTTGCTTTAATTAAGCACGGTGAGCTTGGACTATGTTCAATTAAAAAGTTCTTGCTCATCCAATTTTTTTCAAATACTGTTTCAGTAATGCCGCGCGATAATTTAAAAACCAAAACGAAAAAAATTCATTGATAAAATTTTAAATAAACTCAATTTTTGATTTTTTTTAAGATTATTGTATACCGTTTTATAAAATTAACGCCTACAAATTTCAGTTTACCTTCAGATCTTCCTATTGCCATTGAGGAAGATGTTCCATTGTAAAAAATGATGATAATCACTTTAAAACCTTACAAAATTCCAAAATAAACGTAAAAATAGTCGTTTCTCATCTTTCAAAAATTTTTCAACTGTGATCTATTTTACACTAAAATGACGCAAGGACGAATCAAGTACTTAAAATTCTGAGCAAAATGAAAAATGTACTAACAACTTTCAAATTTTTTTCATAATTTTCAAAAATATCCATAAGGTTCCTTAAGGATATTTTTGTAACTGGTCTAGGTGAGACATAGAACTTGTTTAGGACGTCTTTATTTCATTCTTTTTAACATCTATAGGATGTCATTTTAGGGACTTTTTGGGATGTCCTAAAGATATCTTTAGAACGTCTTTTTAACAATTTCCAAGAACGTTCCTTGGGACATCAAGTAGATATTCGTGCCCATTTGGATTAGTTAATTATTTTGACAGTGTGTTCTGTTTATGTCGACACTACCCAAAAAAAGAAAGTTATTACAGAAGCAGCCCCAGGTGGAAAGATTCCTAGGAAAGTGCTCCTGGGAATTTCCGCCGGAATTCTTATTGGAAATTACCAGGGGCATTTTCCTGGGAATCTTTCTACGTGGGGGCTTAATACAAGAGGCTATTTGAATAAGTATGAATCTGTCTCCTATTGAAAATCCCTGTACAAGATCTTGTACATAGAAAATGTACACGTTCAACGAAATGTAAAATTTCGGCACCAGAATTTGGAACAAGTTCTTGTATCAGAACTTGTACAAGATCGTGAACATATTCTTGTACAGGTTCTTCGTTAAGTAAAAATTAAAAACTTTAAAGGCTGCGCTGTAAATTATTAAAATCTCAAATTTTTTTTGAAAAATTTTTTTTTCAAAGGAATTTGTACAAGAACAAGAACGGTTTCATGTGTAAGTATTTGTGCATAAACCTGCACAAGAATATGTACAAGAACATGTACATTTTCTTCTTGTATACAAATAATAAATATATTTTCTTGTACAAGTTCTAATACATGAACTTGTTCCAAATTTTAGTGCCGAAATTGTACAGTTTGTTGTACATGTTCTCACCAGAACAGGTACAAGTTCAGCTGCTAAACGTTTACATTTTCTTGTACAGGTTCCTTGTCTAGTTATTGATAGCGACTTTCAATCGCAGCACTTACATACACTGATCTGTAATTCCACCGTAGTTGGACAAATAATAAAAAAAATTGCACATAAACGTTTTCATTTTTCAGGGGGGGGGGCTGAAAATATTAATCGAGGGGGCCGTGCCCCCACGGGCCCCTACCTAGCTACGCCTATGTTTACTACAGGATTTAGTAAGTTTTTTAAAAAAATGTTGAGGTAAATGTAATACTTTTAGATATTATTAAAAAAACTAAGTAATTTGTTACATATTTGTAGATTAGTACTGAAAATAGTAAATATTATAACAAGTCCCATATTTCCGGCCTTTGCAAAGAAAAATAGTAAAATATAGTGTTTCATTCTACAAAAATTACTTCTACGGGTCTCTACGTGTATAAACATCTCTTTTAAAAATGCATTGTATTTACTGCTACTTAGTATTACCAACTTAAAATCAAAGCAGAAAAAACTTCGTTGAAATGGTATGTTTTATACGTCTTTCACGAGGTATGTTTTAAAACGATTTTTTAAAATGGTATGTTTTTCCACTAACTGATTAACCCGACGATTTACAGATCTAAACATTTTTAAAAAATCTGTAATATGATATTTATATAAATGACAACATATTATTTAAATATTCATTTATTCCAAAATTATACGAATTAAATAATTTTTTTTAGTAACGGCTTCAATACCAAAAGATGTCTTACTGAATTTACATGGTTCTTTGAAAAAGCGAGTAGCGCCACCGCCTCCACCAATAGGGTCTTCATTAACTCCTTCTCATTATGGAACTCTGCCAGTCTCTGCACCTTTATCAGGCACATCACACAATCGAACAACCAGTGAACCTATTTTGGCTGGTCATTCCATGCACACTTTTCCTCATTGTTTGAATACTTTTAACTACAAACATAAGAGATCGCCATGTGGAGATTCTTCTTCCGAACATGGTAAGATCCATTTTTTACTTAGTATTGTTTATATTAAATAATTATAATTCACTTTTTCTTATGTTTTATGTAATTTAAAAAAGTTAATGAATCAAATTTATATTTAATTCGCGGTGGTCTTGAAGGAAGAAGTAATGCAATGAAAATGGATCAAAAATCGGGTTGTTGGGGGTTTTTCTAGATCGCTTGCAGGTTCAGAATATGCAAAATTTGAAATCCTAGCTGCTCCCTTTTTCGAGAAATCTACATTTTTGTGTTTTAAATGTAAATTAACGGTTTGAATTACATTAATTTGGTTTATCAATTAAATCAAAATTTAAAGAATTTATTATTACACTCTATTTAACTCTTCGTTCAATTTTTTGTCTTCTTCTTGATACTTCATAAGTAGTAGGGTTGTCATTGATGCGTTTCCCTACTATACTTCTAAGCAAAGTCACCACTTACATTGAAATAACAATTTTTCCTAGAATCTATACTTGGTGAATCTAGTAGACTTATGCTCAATATGATAAATGTTCTCATGATAAGAACAGGAAAAAGATTGTGCTCTATGTGGTAAAAAATTAAAATTGAATACACGGAAAGAAAATCCTTTGCAATAAATGTTAAAAATGATACAAAAATTTCTTATGATTTTTTATAAAATTCTTGATAATCTAAAAAACCAGTACTTCTAATTTAATTAGTTAGTGAATTGAGTAAATATTTTAAACTTTATTAGCAAATTGTGAGAAATGTTTTTATTTTTAAAAATTAATTACTGCTCGTTATGTGAACTTTTAAGTTGCTCGGTTATAAGATCCACATTCAATTCAGTTTAATCTTAATAATGATTAAAGAAATACAATATAATAAATAAATAGAATGACTGGAAAAAATAGCCAAATACAGGAGTAATCATCGTGACTTTTCGTTAGCAAACGGTCAAATTCGTTCAGACTCGCTCAGTTGTCGTCGGTCCCTCTTCCCTAACCTTCTTTTCTGAAATTTTCGTATCGGCTATACCAAAATATGAAAATATTGAAGCAATTAACATAATCATATTATAATGATATTTCTAAAATTCTTAATAAAAATTGTCATTTGAGTTTCCTATAGTAAAATTTTAATTTTTCAAATGACTTTACTAATTTTTATTTTCTAACAATATTATATAACATTATTTTTATTTCAGGCTTTCTTAAAAGTGATAATAAAAATTAATGAAATCCGTTAGTTTCTATGACATGCTACCAACTATGGTAAAAATAAATTTCAAAATATTAAATATTATTTCAATTTTTCTTTCTGTGTAGTACGATTTTGTTGAATGGGCTTTAGAATCCAAATAATTAATGCTTAATTATAGCAAACGTTTTGGCTCAAATGTGAACCTTCCTCAGTGCTTTATTTATCTATACAAATTAAGGAAATTTCTCAAAAAACTAAAGTTATACAATAATTTAATTGTAATATGTTTTGTAAAAAATTACTTTTTGAAAAAATAAAATAGAATTTAAGTTGTGAAGTGAAATATTACAGTAGGGGAGACCGGGGCTATTTGGCGCAAGGGTTGCTTGGCGCACTTCAGTTTATTCAAAAGTGTTAAGTTACATTAATTTTTCTCTTTATTCTGCTTAAAGTACTTGATGAACTGTAAGTTTGTACAAAATTTCATTAATATTCATTAATTATTGTGGAGTATAAATTAAAATAACTGATTTTGGCACTCCAAAGTAATTTTTTAACCTCTTCATTTTTTTGTGATATCTCTTTAAAAAATTAATTTTAGAAGAGCTCAAATATTAAGTTTTGAGCTCTATATATTTGTTATTAAGAAACAAAAAATTTTTTGATTTATATTAATAGTTTTTATAAAAAATTAATAAATATTTCAAAAGTACATTCGGGGTTAGGTGGCGCGGTTATCTGAAAATTTCGTTAAATATTAATAAAATGAAGTTGATTAAATGAAATTTACACATTAATAAGCACCAATAACAATCCTATTCAAAAAATTTAACCGAATAATGGTTTTTAAATATTCACAGCGTTATTATAAAATAAAATATATTTTTTGGTAATTTTACGATTTCATTTATATCAAATTTCATTTAATTTAAATGAAATTTTCTAATTTTTAAATTTAAAATAATTTTATTGTAAAATTACAGTACAGGACTTATTTTGTTAAGTCTTATATTATTTAAACTTTAAATCATATAATTTAATTTCACTCCTGCGCCACGCAACCCCGGGCCGGGGTTGCTTGGCGCGCTTTGCACAGCTTCAAATAAAGTGGTATAAAAATATAAGTATTAAATATATTTCAACTTTTTTTTTTTAATTAAAGCTGATATGTTACAACAAGTTTTCTATACATTAACTTTTTAAAAAAAGCAAAAATGAGTGAGTTACACAACAAAGAGTAAAAAGTGCGCCAAGTAACCCCGGTCTCCCCTATGAAATAAATCGTGCACTAGGCTTAAAAATTGTAATAAACATTAAGGAAAGTACCATGTAGAAAACAACAATAGTAAAAAAAAACTAACTGAAAAATTTTAAAAATATAATTGTTTGTTATAAAATAGTCCTGCTATTTGTTCTTCAATGATAAATATAAACTATGAATTCTTATTGAAAATGAAAATTAAAAAAGGTCAATTTTTCTAAACACAATTTTTTTAATCACATGGGTTTTTTTGACACTTTTTTCCTGTTATTATCATGAGAACATTTATATTTTTACTTTTAATGAGAATTCATAGTTTATATTGATATTTAGAGAACAAATAGTAGGCTTTTTTTATCACAAAGAATTATATTTTTACTTTTGTTTAGTTAGCTTTTTACGTTCTTTTTTACTATTGTTATTTTCTAAATGTTACTTTCTTTAATGTTTATTACAATTTTTAAGCCTAGTGCACGTTTTATTACATACTGTAATATTTTACTTCACAACTTAAATTCTATTTTATTTTTTCAAAAAAAGTTTTTTACAAAACATGTTACAATTAAATTGTTGTATAACTTTAGTTTTTTGAGAAATTGTTTTAATTTGTATAGATAAATAAAGCACTGAGGAAAGTTCACATTTAAGACGAAACGTTTGCTATAATTAAGCATTAATTGTTTGGATCCTAAAGCCCATTCAACAAAATTGTAATATTTAATTTTAGTTTTTTTTACCACATGGAGCACAATCTTTTTTCCTGTTATCATGAGAACATTTATCCCGAAAGCTCATATTGAGCAAAAGTCTACTAGATTGACCAAGTATAGATTCTAGGAAAAATTGTTATTTCAATGTAAGTGGTGACTTTGCTTAGAAGTATAGTAGGGAGACGCATCAATGACAACCCTACAACTTATGAAGTATCAAGAAGAAGACAAAAAATTGAACGAAGAGTAAAATAGAGTGTAATAATAAACTCTTTAAGTTTTGATTTAATTGATAAAACCAAATGAATGTAATTCAAACCGTTAATATACATTTAAAACACAAAAATGTCGATTTCTCGAAAAAGGGAGCAGCTAGGATTTCAAATTTTGCATATTCTGAACCAACAAGCGATCTAGAAAAAGCCCCAACCACCCGATTTTAGGTCCATTTTCATTGCATTTCATTTTCCTTCAAGACCACCGTGAATTGAGTCTTATATTATTAAAAAAATTGAACATCACAAGTTCATAGCTAAATTAATCGGAATTTTTTAAAAATTTCCACAAAAAAATAGCTTACAACTCCGAAATCATACCCCAGATAACCAAGCGTACTAATCGTTTTTTTTCAGTACGATATACTGATACAAGTGCCAGTAAAAAAATTGTATAGCAGAAGCTTGAATTCCGTATAAAAACTCCTAAGCTGGTATACGGAATGTTTACTTTTCCGTATTACAGCCTTTACTGTGATACGAAATTATAAGGAGGTTGTTTGTATACGGACAACTTTTTCACGACTTTTAATATTGTTAATAACTAAGAACAATATTATCTGGTAAATCATTACCATTATTTCTCTCACATCACAGCTCACATATTTAGTGAACAAAATAACACTTTTGTCTTTGAATTGTCGAAGAATTGTCTTATTATTTAATCATAATAAATATTTTATGTTAATATTCAATCATTCATTTCATCTTAAAACAGGTATTTCATCATTAAAAGTCATGCAAAAGTTGTCCGTATACAACCTCCTTATAATTTCGTATTACAGTAAAGCCTCTTATACGGAAAAGTCAAGATTCCGTATACCAGCTCAGTAGTTCCCACATAAAACATAATATTGCTGCAATATTTCTTTTTAACATTCAAAATATTCAAATTTAACATTATATGAATATTTCAGAAATATTAAAATATCCGACTCAGGGAATATTATATTTTAACATTGCAGGAATATTGAAATGAAACTTTCTATATGTACCTGAAATTTTTTTGTATATTTCTTAGAATTATTGCAGAAATTTTTTTTAGGGTTTTGTCACGTCACCGTAAAATTGTTGAACATTGCAGCTGCATTTTTGTTACAAAAAACCTTACTTGTTTAACTTTTCTGTATAAAATCAATACTATAGTCGCGACAGTAGTCTGGTTGACTAAGTATTTAAATATTATTTAATGAATTAGAAAATCAGTCACGATCACGTAGATTTTCCATTAAATGTTTTATACCCCTTTGAGCAGCCCTACAAGTGAACAGGAAATGTGTAATAAAATCATACATCCGACCTTCTGTAATTTTCGATAATCAAAATGTATAAACCCACTTATATTAACATCGGTTTCTCTTCGAATTCAGAAAATATCAAATGTAAAGGGGAGTCACCTTAATCCATAACATTTAGTTGGCTTCTTACTCATAAAAAAGGGTCGAAAATGCAACCCTCATATGGAAATTCGTGCGCGCTCTTTGTGAAAATCTTGTATAAAAAGATCCACATTTGCCAGGAGAGTTAGTTCCGAAATTGCCACCGAACCCGCTAGTTCAGTTCATATTTTGGTATCTCAAG